CCTCCAGTGGTAATGTTTTTCAAAACTATAGTACAATATCACAACCAGGACACTGACATTGACAATCCACTGACCTTAATCAGATTTCCTTAGTTTTGCTTGCACTTATGTGTGAGTGTGTGTGTGCATGTGTGTGTTAAGTTCTACACCATTGTACTGACCAGGTCGGCTGGTGTATTCAACCACAGCAGTCAGATACCGAACAGTTCCAACACCATGAAGATCCCTGGTGTTTTTCCTTTGTAACTACCTGCACTTCCCCTCCCTCCACCCCTTAACCCTGGAAACCACTAATATGTCCTCCGTTTCTAAAATTTATCATTTCAAAAAGTGTTATATAAATGGAATTATAGAGTATGTAACCTTTCGGGGTTGACTTTTTCACTCAGCATGATTCCCTGGAGATCCATCCAAGGTACTGAGTGTGTCAGTAGCTGGTTATTTCTTATTGCTGGGGAGTAGTCCAAGGTATAAATGTACCATGGTCTATTTAACCATATACCTTTTGAAGTACATTTGGTTTTTAGCTATTACCAAAAAAGCTGCTATCAACATTTGTGTACATGTTTTTGTGTGGACATAAGTTTTTATTTTTCTGGGATAAATGCCCGAGTGCAATTGCTAGATCATATGGTAATTGCATGTTAGTTTTAAGAACCTGCCAAGCTCAGGTTTTCCAGGGAGGCTGTTCCATTTTCATCCCACCAGGAATGTATGAGTGATCCATTTTCTCCACATCCTCATCAGCATTTGGTACTGCCACTATTTTTTATTTTAGACATTCTGACAGATAGATAGTAATATCTCATTGTGGCTTATTCATTTATTTTTGGCTCTTTTGGGTCTATGTTGCTGTGCGTGGGCTTTTTCTAGTTGCGGCAAGTGGGGGCTACTCTTCGTTGTGGTTGCTTCTCTTGTCGCGGAGCACAGGCTCTAGGCGCGTGGGCTTCAGTAGTTGTGGCATGCGGGCTCTGTAGATGTGGCTTGCGGGCTCTAGAGCGCAGCTCAGTACTTGTGGTGCACAGGCTTAGTTGCTCCGCGGCATGTGGGATCTTCCCAGACCAGGGCTCGAACCCATGTCCCCTGCATTGGCAGGCGGATTCTTAACCACTGCGCCACCAGGGAAGTACTCTCATTGTGGTTTTAATTGGCATTTCCCTGATGGCTAGCAATGTTGAACATCTTTTCATATGTTTATTTCTTACCTGTATATTCTCTTTGGTGAAATGTCTCTTCATTTCTTTTGCCCATTTTCTAATTAAATTGGGTTTGTGTTTTGTTTTTTCTTTTAACTCATTCCCTCCACCCTTCCTTTTATTTCTTATTCTTTTGGTAAGCATTTATTAGCATGTCCCATCTATCAGGCATCTGGAATACAGAGACAAAGGCAAAGACTTACCCTAAAGAACTGATGGTTTTGAGGAGGAGACAAATAAGCAGGATTCTGTTCAGGAAAGACATCTACCTCCTATCAAGAGAATTAGTGAAGGCTTGTTTCCTGGAGGAGGTAACACCTGATCAGCATTTGGAGGGTGGATATGTTCATTATACTTTATATGCTATACTGCCTTTACAGTTAGAGTAGTAATACAGTAAGAAATATGTAATGCCTTCTAAAAGCCCCACAGGGCACCTTTCTTTCTAAGTAATTCATTACGTGGACTTGTCCTTAAATCAAGGTTAGCAGACACAAAATATCACCCTGGGTTCTTGAGGATTCTAAGACAGAGAAGACAACATCCCAGGCCCCCAAGATGTATGATCTAATGGGCACTGGAGATCCACCACCAGCAGACAGTTGATTACAGAAACACAAATTTAGTAACAAGGGAGAGGGAGAAATTAGTTTTTACCAGGAAGTCTGGGAAGGTTTCTTGGAAAAAGGAGGGTTTGAGCTGGGATTTGAAAAAGGAGTAGAACTCCAACAAGTAGATATAAAAGGGAACAAATTTGGTATACACTCCTGGGTCCCTGCATGTTATAGATTCCAGGTTTCCATGTTGCTCTTACCCAGGGAATTGTTTCTGAGGAAAGATTCTAGACTGGATGTCTGTGTCCATGTTTGCTGATGGCTCCAGTTGAAGAGGTTGCTAGTGGAAGTCACATCTAGTTTTAGGATGAGATCAACAATCTAATTTTGGGAAGTCCTTCATCTCACAGATAGATGTACTGAGGCCTAGAGAGGATCAAATTCAGCTCAGTCTTGTGGCCCCTACTGTCCAATCAGTGGATGTGTTTTGTCTAGAAAGTTCCCAGGTCATGCCAGGGAAGTGGTGTGGATTTCCTATGGCTCTGCTAAAAATAAAAAGATCATGGGCTTCCCTGGTGGAGCAGTGGTTGAGAGTCCGCCTGCCGATGCAAGGGATGCGGGTTCATGTCCCGGTCCGGGAGGGTCCCACATGCCGCGAAGCGGCTGGGCCCGTGAGCCATGGCCGCTGAGCCTCCGTGTCCAGAGCCTGTGCTCCACAACGAGAGAGGCCACAGCAGTGAGAGGCTGGTGTACCGCCAAAAAAAAAAAAAAAGATCAATTGGTGAAAATAAGGAGTTGCAGAGTGGATGGGGAGTACTTCTTGCTTAAAAACATTGTTTATCTCACATGTAATTTTTTTAAATCTCCTTTAAGGAATATAATTTTTACATATGCTCTGAAATAAACCACACTTACCAATTAAGTAACTTACAGAATGTCAAGAAAAGAGAAAATAAACCAGTTTCAAAGCCTCTGTTCAGCAAAGATTGGAATGGATAAGAAGCTGGAAGATGTATTAATGAGATGGGAGAGAAAAAGAAAGGCAATTACAAACTGTAGCATAAACAAAAATATAACAAAGTCATGGCCCAGATATGAAGCAAATTAAACTGTAGCATGAAACGAATAAAATAAAATGTAGCCTGATTTTGAGAAATGTATGAGTGTAAGAAAAAATATTCCATTTGCCACATTCTTCTTAAGTGACAAAAATACTGGATTTGTAGAGGAAGAAGTTGTGGCCCATTGCAGTGAACACTATTTACATAATCACCATATTGTAAATGCTGTTGATTGAATGGAAATGCAGTCAATTTCAACAACATACAAGCAAAGTGGACAGAGGTTGAGAGTTGGAAATGGGGAGGAGAGGGAGAGAGGATGGTGAGTGTTCTCATGCTTGTCTGATATCGTAAGAAGTCTAAATACTGCACGACATTGATGAATGGGTAAGCTGAGGCTTTAAGTTTTACTTTTTTTTTTTTTTGGCCGCACCAAGCGCCTTGCAGGATCTTAGTTCCCTGACCAGGGACTGAACTCACATCCTCGGCAGTGAAAGCGAGGAGTCCTAACCACTGGACCGCCAGGGAATTCCCCAAAGTTTACTACATAAGTTACACATTTGGATAACTAATAGAAGAATTAAAGAGAATTCATATAGGGGCTTCCCTGGTGGTCCAGTGGGTAAGACTCCAAGCTCCCAATGCAGGGGGCCCGGGTTCAGTCCCTGGTCAGGGAACTAGATCCCTCATGCCACAACTAAGAGTTCGCATGCCACAACTAAAGATCCTGCATGCCGCAACTGAGACCCGGAACAGCCAAAATAAATGAATAAATAAATAAATAATTTTTTTAAAAGAGAATTCATATAGCTATTAAAGGGATTCAGAACATGCTACTCCAAAATATACCCCTTTGGCATATTGATTATTTTGAACTGAAGGCAATTGAGAAACTGTAGATGCAGGAAGGGCTCTCTGACCTCCCTCTTTCTACCTAAAATCAGGTCTTTGAACTTCCCATGAGAAAGGTGCCCTCCCTTTACCAGGAAGAACATTCTTATCACTGGGGACTGGGCGTCAATGCTGAAGTGGTCCTGTACAAATAAACCTACCAAAATAACCCTTGTCTTCCATTACTTTCTCCCCATGTATCTCCTAGTCACTTTCCCACAATTTACTGTCCTCAGCTCAAGCCCCTTGGTCTTGTCACATCCCTGCAGTTTATTGTTCTTTGTGTAAAAAGGCATATAAGTTTTGGGGCCTAACAGCTTATTCAGGTCTTCATTTTCCCTTCAGAGACTCCCATGTACATGTAAAAATATTAAATAAGATATGTACGCTTTTCTTTTTAATCTGTTTATGTCGGTTAATTCTTAGGCCAGCTACAGAACCTAAGAGGGTAGAAGGAAGTTTTTCCTCCCCTACTGTCAAAAATTGGAAGAAGGGAAGGGGAAGGGAAACAGCGTAAATTATACTCTAATTTTTCAGGATGAGCTGTCAGTTGATAATGTCTAAAGAAATAGTAATATAAGTATATTACATGTTATGAAAATGGTTGCCAGAGCTACAGACAGAAGTGGTTAAATGTGGTTGCCTCTGGGAAGTTGTACTAGAAGTGACCTTAGGGATTAGGCGGAGACACAATTTTGATGTCACATAAGTGATTGCTTTGGTAAAAAGAAATGAGAAGGGTTGTATTGACCAGGAACAAAATTTGTTCAAAGTATAATTGCAGCTATTTCATTACCTTAAATTTTAAATATAGCCCGTAAGCATTTCTAATTTTCCTAAATTTGCCCTTGTGCAGGAAAAAGAACTAGTTCAGCTCTGATATAGATATTTGAATGCCACTTTTGTTAAGAGAGATCTTGGATTTTTTTGAGGTGAGACAAAATGAAGTACTGTGAGGTACTTCTCAACGGTGTAAAATCCCTGGATTAATCCAGAGTTTAGCTTATTTAATATACCATTTAAGCTCTTTTCTTGTGCAAAATCTTCAACTTATATTTTCCCCATCAGGCACACCTCTGATTTTATAATGCCAATCATTGAAAGCTGACATTTATTATATATAAACATTCCCTTTGGACATATCCATTTCCAAGTTCAGGGAGCCAGGCTCCAGGAACCCACGCACGCACACCGGGACTGTGTGGTGTGGGGCAGGGCAGGGGACGCTGGCCACATTGTGGTGCCATCCTGTGGTTGTGATGCTAAATTAGAGCATGTTTTCGTTTTCTTCTCTCTAGGAAGGCCCTTTTGTCTACTTGTCTTTGGTAGGAAACATCACAGATTCTGATGCCTTGATTGCTTCATTGTGTAAGTAATTTAAAACGTTTGCATTTGCCATGTTTGAGGGATTAATTGCAAGTATGGCTGTCAATTAAATGAGTACCTGTACCCCATGCTGTATGATTCTATTTACATGAAATGTCCAGAATAGGCAAATCTATTGAGATAAATTATAGATTAGTGGTTGCCTGGGTGTGTGGGGAGGGGGCGGGTCATAGGCCAGAAATGGGGAGTGACTGATAATGGGTACAAATTTCTTTTTTGGGGTAGAAACATTATAAAATTACATGATTTGTAGTGATTCAAATCTGAGAATATACTAAAACTTGTTGAATTATACACTTTAAACAGATTTAAAAAAACAGGTCTGGCATGTGAATTATATCTCAATAAAGCTATAATTTCAAATTTTTGTTTTTATTTATTTAATTTATTTTTGGCTGCACTGGGTCTTCGTTGCTGTGTGTGGGCTTTCTTTAGTTGTGGCAAGCAGGTGCCACTCTTCATTGCAGTGCGCCAGCTTCTAATGGCAGTGGCTTCTCTTGTCGCGGAGCACGGGCTCTAGGTGTGCGGGCTTCAGTAGTTGTGGCTCGCGGGCTCAGTAGTTGTGGCTCTCAGGCTCTAAAGCGCAGGCTCAGTAGTTGTGGGGCACAGGCTTAGTTGCCCCGCGGCATGTGGGATCTTCCCTGACCAGGGCTCGAACCCGCATCCCCTGCATTGGCAGGCGGATTCTTAACCACTGCACCACCAGGGAAGCCCGAATTTTCATTTTTTTGAAGGTGAGAATGTAGACTGAAGATGACAGATAAAGATCGAATTAGATATTTGCGTTTCATGGGACTGAGCCAAATCTGGGCTGTTTGCTTTCTCTGAGGCTGAGCAGGGCAGCCGGGGTAGGAGGACAGTGACTTGAGCTGGAATTCTCAACCCCAGACTTCCCTAGCAATTCTCAAGCACATTTTAATCCAGCAGACTCACCAGAAAGCTGCACAGCTGCATTTTCCTTAGCCCGTGGAACTGAGCAGGTGGCCTCAAGATGTGGGACTCAGGGCTTCCCTGGTGGCGCAGTGGTTGAGAGTCCGCCTGCTGATGCAGGGGACGTGGGTTCGTGCCCCGGTCCGGGAAGATCCCACATGCCGCGGAGCAACTAAGCCTGTGCACCACAACTACTGAGCCTGTGCTTTAGAGCCTGCGGGCCACAACTACTGAGCCCGCGAGGCACAACTACTGAAGCCCGCACACCTAGAGCCCGTGCTCCGCAACAAGAGAAGCCACTGCCATTAGAAGCCGGCACACTGCACTAAAAAGAAAGCCTGCGTGCAGCAACGAAGACCCAATACAGCCAAAAATTAATTAATTAATTATTTTTTAAAAAGTGAAAATTCATTTAATGGAGGTACCCTTTATTAGTGTGAAAGTGAAAATCTAGTAGATAATGTCAAGTAGTGCTTCTTGGACTTTAAAGGACACAGGTTGCTTGGGGTTCTTGTTAAAATGCAGATTCTAATTCAGAGGGTCTGGGGTAGGGCCTCCCATATATTGATCTGTGGACTGTCCTTTGATTCAGCAGGATGTAGAACTTGTTAAAGATGATAAGGAAGACTTTATTCAAGAGGGACTATGGCAATGGGAGAGAGATTGGGCTCAACTCTAAATACAAGGACAGGTGGAGATTCATAGGCAAGGAGCAGGGTTGGGGTCAGTGGATGGAAAATTACTGAGAAGAAATATCAAGGCTGCGGGACTCTTGATAGACTGACTCAACAGGATCCTTGCTGAAGGCAGGCCAGGGTATTAAGATACAGAGGGTGGGAGATGAGGAATTTGATCAGATATCAAGATTATCTACACTCCCATGTTCATAGCAGCAGTATCTACAATAGCCAAGACATGGAAACAACCTAAGTGTCCATTGACAGAGGACTGGATAAATAAGTTGTGGTGTATATATACAATGGAATATTATTCAGCCATAAAAAGAAGGAAATCCTGCCATTTGTGACAACATGGATGGGCCTTGCAGACATTATGCTAAGTGAAATAAGCTAGACAGAAAAAAACAAAAACTGTAATATCTCATATGTGGAATCTAAAAAACAAACAACCCAAACTCATAGAAAAAGAGATCAGATTTGTGGTTACCAGAGGCGAGGACTGTGGAGTGGGGGAATTGGATGAAGATGTTCAAAAGGTACAAACTTCTGGACTTCCCTGGTGGTACAGTGGTTAAGAATCCACCTGCCAGTGCAGGGGACACAGGTTCGAGCCCTGGTCTGGGAAGATCCCACATGCTGCGGAGCAACTAAGCCCGCGAGCCACAACTAGTGAGGCCCACGTGCCTAGAGCCTGTGCTCCACAACAAGAGAAGCCAGCGCAATGAGAAGCCCATGTACCGCAACGGAGAGTAGCCCCCACTCGCCGCAACTAGAGAAAGCCCGCACACAGCAACGAAGACCCAACGCAGCCAAAAATAAATAGAAAAATAAATAAATTTATTTTTTAAAAAAAGGTACAAACTTCTAGTTCTATGATAAATAAGTACTAGGGATGTAATGTACCACATAATTAACACTACTGTATGGCATATTTGAAAGTTGTTAAGAGAATAAATCCTAAGAGTTCTCACCACAAGGAAAAAAACATTTTTTCTTTTTCTTTTTTTTTGTATCTATATGACATGATGGATGTCATTAAACTTATTGTGGTAATCATTTCACAATATATGTAAGTCAATTCATTATGCCGCATACCTTAAACTTACACAGTGCTGTATGTCAGTAATATCTCAATAAAACTGGGGGTTGGGGGGAGTGATCAGATACCAAGAGTGAAGGATTTTCACTAAACTCACGCAGCAGGATTCTTGTTGAAACTGGACTAAGTGGGCCAAGCACAGAGCCCAAGGTCGAGACCTTTTGGAGAAGAGGGCTTGGAGGAGGCTGCCTTGAGTTTGGTCAAGAAGAGTTGTGCCCCTAGTCTCCGCTCTGTGGCAAAGGGCACAGCCGTGGCTTGGCTACTGGAAACCTCCAGCCCTTCGTGTGCATCTTTCCCTCTAAACCTCTGCCTGAGCCTGGCAGTCAGTCACAAAATAAAGGATGAGGATCACATCATTAGGTTTATTAATGCTCTGTTTGCCCTTTCGCTGTTGTAGGTGTTTAACCTGCAAAGAGTTGGTCAAGGTTAAGCAGTAGATGAGGAGGTGCCAGAGGCTTGATCCACTGGGGCCAGCAGATAGCAGGGCCTGCTTCCAGTGCCTGTCCCCACCCCCCTCCCCCCCACTTTCACTTACACACACGCTGTCTCCTTCAGCTTTGCTGAATTTCCTGCAGTTTCAGACACACCGAGCGCTCTCAGCCCCAGGCCTTTGCTCAAACTCCTCCCTGAGATACCCTCTCCCTCCCCCAGTTCAAGGCTCACCTCTTGTGATATAAGCCCTCAGATTTTTTTTTTTTTCGTGCAAATGTGCTTTATTTCTGTAATTTAGAAGAGACCTTTTGGTTTAGGGAGTGGGAGCTGTGTTTCAGTTCATACATATCGTCACACACTTCCCCAAGGGGGAGCAATTGACAGGCCACACGGGGGTCCTGTTATATGACACCCTCATCCAACTGGCCCTTGAGACTGGACCTGGTGCCCTTCAGGACAGAAATCAGGATGGGCTGCCCTTTGATCTTGCCAGCTGGTCATCCTCACCTTCATCCCAATCCAAAGCCTTGATTTCTGACACTGTGGAAGGTACGGGACTAAGAGAAAGGCCTGAGATTAAGATCCCAGATTACGTGTGCCTTGACGTGTGGTAAAATCCAGAGGGCCTCAGATGTCGTAAGTGCCAGGCCCCTCTGCACCCTGCTTCCTCATATAAGGTCCCTAGACAAGCAGCCCTCCTGGTCTCCGGGACCAGCACGGTGCCTGCACACCCCTGAGGAGCCGGCTTCAGTTCCCTGCCAGCCCTCAGAATTACTCAAACAATCCTATCACATCCTGCCGCGGGGACCAGGGGTCACCCGCCCTGATGTTACTGCAGAGCCCACCTCCCACAGCCCCTCCTCGTTCACCCCAGTTCCTAGGGCAGCCCCACGTGGTACAGTGTGCTTCTCCCCGAGCCTGCGAGCCGCCATCAACCTCATCTGCCCAGTGTCATCTGTTGTGTGTTGGGCCACCACATAAGCCCAGGGCGGGAACCCTTCCCTCGCATGTAGGGTGAAGAGGAAGCGATCAGAACACCTCCTCTCCTAGCTTGTGCAGTGCCTTTTCTCCATGTCCCTATTCTCTGTCCCCGTCACTTATTACATGGTCTGAGCTCGCTACAGTATGAACCACCAGCAGCAGACTTTGTGCCCTGGCCGCTGCTGCATTCTTGAGACCTAGCATAGAGGCGTCTATACGCTACAAAAAAATTGTTGAATTAAAGAATGAATGAAGGGGACTTCCCTGGATGTCCAGTGGTTAGACCCTGTACTTCTAATGCAGGGGGCATGGGTTCGATCCCTGGTCAGGGAACTAAGATCTCACATGCCACGTGGCCAAAAAATAAATCAAAAAATTTTTTAAAAAGAATGAATGAATGGGGTTATTTCTGTGAAAAACACCCACTAATCTCTTAGCTCCTAAAGCATTGACCTTTTACTTGTGATATTTTCTTAGATTTTGGCTACACTAGATAGTATATTTCACCTATTGTATCTATGTGGTTTTTTAATTAATTTAATTTATTTTATTTATTTATTTTTGACTGCATTGGGTCTTTGTTGCTGCGCCCGGGCTTTCTCTGGTTGCGGCGAGTGGGGGCTACTCTTCGCTGCGGTGCGCGGGCTTCTCATTGCGGTGGCTTCTCTTGTTGTGGAGCACGGACTCTAGGCACGTGGACTTCCGTAGTTGTGGCGTGCAGGCTCAGTAGTTGTGACTTGCAGGGTCTAGAGCGCAGGCTCAGTAGTTGTGGCACACGGGCTTAGTTGCTCCACAGCATGTGGGATCTTCCCAGACCAGGGCTCGAGCCTGTGTCCCCTGCATTGGCAGACAGATTCTTAACCACTGAGCCATCAGGGAAGCCCTGTATCTATGTTTAAATTTATAGGGAAAACTTTTTCTTTCACTATGATGTTTTCCAGTTAGGTCATGGCAGGCAGTCGGCTAAGGACAGGCTGGACGGCTCTGCCTGGTCTGCCAGTTGCATCTGGCCTTTCACAGAATCTCCGCTCAGCATGTGTCTGTGTGTTATCTCATTAAATAGCTAATCGTGTTTACTGGCCTGTCCTTTCTCTGGGGACAGCCTTTCATGGGAACCCTTTGTCCCTGGCCCTGGAGGGATCCTAACTCTAACCATTAAGAGACTATTGCTTCTTTTTAAGGCTGAGTAATATTCCATTGTATATATGTGCCACATCTTCTTTATCCATTCACCCGATGATGGACACTTAGGTTGGAGGGGGAAGGGTAAGCTGTGACAAGGCGAGAGAGTGGCATGGATGTATACACACTACTAAACGTAAGGTAGATAGCTAGTGGGAAGCAGCCGCACAGCACAGGGAGATCAGCTCGGTGCTTTGTGACCGCCTGCAGGGGTGGGATAGGGAGGGTGGGAGGGAGGGAGACGCAAGAGGGAAGAGATATGGGGACATATGTATACGTATAACGGATTCACTTTGTTATACAGCAGAAACTAACACACCATTGTAAAGCAATTATACTCCAATAAAGATGTTAAAAAAGAGACGATTGCTTTGTGCTGCTCAGACCAGTCAGATCGCGCAGCTGATTTCTGACCATTCATACCTTTTCTAAGTAATGTGAGAACAGTAGTTAAAGGGAGAGAAGAGGGTTTGGGGTTTTTTTTTCCTCTGGTTATTTGAGATCTTAGGACCAGCACGTATTACTTTGTTAAAGTAAAAAGGAAAGAGAGACAGAGAGAAAGGTGGGGGGAGGTGGGGAGGAAGGAAAGAGAGAAAGAAAGAAGGAAGGAAAGAAGAGAGAAGGAGGGAGGGAGGGAGGGGAATATGACTTCACCTAGTGCATGGCCCTTGGTCCTTCACTAAAAAGACTGTCTGACCTCATGGTGCTTCCTAGAAGTAACCATCCTGATAACGGGGCCTGGAAAGATTTCTTAGGGCACACCTGCTCCCTGGTCAGCACAATTTCGTGGTAGCTGTGTTAGTGAATTCTGTCCCTGTAGCAGACCGAAATGCTCCTTTGTCCATTTAGGATTCATTCTGTAGTCCAGGCTGTGTTACTCTCCTCCCCTCCCCTCCCTGCTGCCTCCTCAGCACTCAATTCCCCTTCAATCACTAATAAACATGTGTTTTTTTATAAACATTTCCTTAATAATAATTTTCCCACATCTAACTAATACAGACTTTATGTTGAAATTTTGACGTAAGGAATTATAATGCATTTACCAAGATAACTATTAAAGATTATCTTTGCAAAGTCTGACTGTGTCAAACTGATGTAGAATTCTGCTGCTTACGATGAAAAGGGAGAGGGTGAGGAGGGCACATGTGTGAAAGCACTTTGGAAAATGCAAATCATTTTACAAATATAACATGATATTGTTATTATTACTTGTGTCCGGTGGCAAATGCATTTTCGTCATAGGGCCTCACTTGCCTTCCACTAAGGCATTATGAAGACTACAGAGAGAGTGGCAGTTACTCTTTTATCTCCTCCTAACGGGGAAAAAAAGGTCATTTCCTCTGTCATAAAAACGATTGCCAGATGAGTAACAAAATGTATTTTGTTTTCAGGGAAAGAATATGGCAAAGCTGACGCAAGATGGCTTTATTTGGATCCAACCATTGTGTCTTTGGAAATTCTGACTGTCGTCCTGGGAGGGTTTCTGGCATTGGTTCTCATTTATGCCATCGTCAAAGGGAAACGTTATCGGTAAGTGCTCTTCTCCTGTCCTACGGAAAAGAGGAGGAACATTAGCTGTCCCAACACCAGCGTGACATTTGGAGGGGATAATGACCAGAGTTCTTTGTTAGACAAAAAGTAGACTAGAAACAAAAATTGTTAGATATTAGTTAAGGATCATGGTGCCACCAGGATAATTTCAGACCATTCAAAATAAAAAAAATATGAGAAATATGATTGTATTGACAACCTGGGTGCTGTACAGACAAGCACAGTGGTGACAGCATTGGATGATTTGCCACCAATATTTTGGAGAATCAAAAGGTAACATTTGCATCCTTTGCCTCCAACTCATTCTAGAAAACTCCCATTCCGCTTGACACAAAGAAAAATCTCTCATGTAATTCTGAGGTAGACATGCAAGATAAATAAGAAATCTTTCCAGAAGCAGGCTATGGAGGGTATGAGGAAAGCAGAAGAGTGAGGAGACGAAGCAGAAAGATGGCAGATTAACCATCCATCAATCAGACCCTGGAACTTTGAACTCCGCTTCCTCCCTCCCTTTCCTTCCTCTCCATCTTAGGGACGGGGTGACCTGGGACAAACAGATTGCTATCCTGGGGATGATTCCCTAAACCAATGTCAAGTAGGCACAACGGCATTCCATTTTCCACCATCTTGTATCAAAGACGAAGTCTTATGTAAAGCTTCATCATAAAATTTCAGATTTGAAAGAGACCTCAAAGGTCATTTAATCCACTTTCTCCCACCCAGTTTTACATAGAGCGTTGGCAGGAAGAATTAAATTTCTCCTGGGTGCCTTCCATGTCTTTGACTCCATGATCGTGGTTGTAGATTTACTACATGCACCCATTTGTTTATTATTTCAAACATTTAACACATATGCATTGTTGAATATGTGTCGGGCACAGTGCTTTATCTACGTATCTCATTTAATCTCCGCAATATTATTCGAGGAAGGGACTATTATTATCCCTTTTACAACAGGTGAAATTGCGGCTCATAGAGAGCTTCCCATCCAGGTCTCTCTTTACCGGGTCAGTTGTGACCTCACCAAATCTTCCGAAGAATAGGACAGGATACCCAAGAGACCTTCTTTAACTCTGAGGATAATCTTCTAGGAAAGGCACTATTGCTTCTCCAAGGAAAGCATGGGTCTTCATTAATTATCAATTTGCCCCATCAAAGGAGCTCTACGTAAAACCCGAGGTCCAACTTCAGGGAGGTTTTCTGCCATGGAGGACTGTTGATGCTGCTGGTAGTTTCATCCCTTGTCTCTTTCTCTCTAACAGGCATTTCATACAGATCACCCTGTGTGTGTGTGAATTGTATGGCGGGTGGATGACCTTCTGCCCAGACTGGCTTATGGGAAGCCCCAACCTCAACACCAACAATTGGCTCTACTTTTGGGTCTATCTGGTATTTTTCAATGGTGTTTGGGTTCTGATCCCAGGACTGTTACTGTGGCAGTCATGGGTAGAACTCAAGAAAATGCATCACAGAGGATTCAATTCAGGCAAAAAGTTTCAGTGAATTTTCAAAATCATAAACACCATCAGCATGCTTTATGAGCCAGAATGAATCAAACCTGTTTGTTGGGCCAAAATGTAATACATTCCAGTGTATACTTTTCTTTTATATTGTCATTCTTGAACAAGCTAATTGCTTCCAGTTGAATCAATTTCAAATGGACTGTAAGGTTGACAAGTTTTGGCTGTTGTTTTTTCCAGTTAAATGGCAATACAGGGAACAGAAAATAAATTTTAACTTGTAATAATAACACATTTAATGATATACTTTTATGGCTAGCATTAATTGTTCTACGTTAATAAAGCCAATTATCATGAAATGCTGTAGAGCATGTTATATTAATTCTTTATTTCAAAGAACATGTTGTTGCTTCAACCTTTGATCTTTCCTCCAGTCTTCTGGTTACCAAAGTGAAACCAGGAATGAAATGAGTGCTTCTGTTTTGCACTTTATCAAATTTGTGAAGCCAACAAAAATGATAGTGGAAGGAATTTGTGAGTGGGGTAACTCCTCATGGGTGAACATTGGGGTTTCATACAGATGATTGATTTATATCTGTCCTTTTTTAAGGAGGAAGATTTAAGATACCTTACAAAAATACGATAAAAAGTAAATCAGGAAATAGGAACATAGGGAAAATGAGTGAGAAACAATAAGATGAAGGTAAAATTAATATGCAGAATGCATGCCGTGACGTCGTATGTAACTGATAGAAGTGAAGCATAAATGTAACACTTACCTTCAGTACCAAGAGGGAGACATGATCACCCTATGTTTCAGAAACCACTCGTTTTGGCAGATGGCTATAGCACTTCCGTCAGAGGTGGGGAGCGGGTACTCACAGTAACTTGTTCAACACCTGACTTTCTTACTAGCCTGTTAGCTCACAGATGTATTCTCTGCCTAGAAGGGTGCCCGGCCTATACAGCAGGCACTTGGTTGGTTGTGGTGGATACTGTCACTTAGCTCAGTCTGCATTCCCCCTCCTTCTAGGTGTCCTCTTATCCTGCAGAGAGCTGCAGGTTGTGGTCCTGGATGCAAAATTGCTGTCACCTTTCAGAGGTACTTGTGAGCGGTTTGGAGGGTGAAAGCATGGAGACCGTTTTCAGCAGTTCCTTTTTTACTTTTGCTGTTTTGTGACGACAGGTAATGTCTATGACTATGGAAACGTGAGGGCTTGGAGCGTTAGCACATCGAGCGTTCAACCTCGTGGGTACTGAGAGGCAGTTGTGGTTGGGGCAGTGGGAGTAAAGGGTTTGTGGGCTGAGGGGCTCCAGTGGTGGCTTCACTGGCAGAGCCTGCCTTGGGAGGGTCCATTTTGTGGACATCTGGGAGCCATTCCTAGAAGCTGAGCCAAGCACCTACTCTTGGAGTCCTCCAGTGATTTTTATAAGCATCCTCTATTAAATCCTCCTGTTTAAAACACCTAGAGTAATTGCTGTTTTCTATGCTTTTATCCTGAATGATACCTGACTGTGATATTCGTTGAATATTGAGTAAGTCTGGCCAAGTAAGTTTGAGGAATATTACGTTAGCACATTAAAGACTTTAGAAGTCCTGCAGTGAAGAAACTAGATTAACTTGTTTAACTCAGCTTTTCCCAACATATTTAGCAGACCACTTTAACAAGTAGGATGGTGTTTCATGGAACCATCAGATAGGGGAGCACTGAGTAACAGAGTTCCGTTTTCATGAGATTAAAAACAAACCAGTTGCCAATAAACAATTAAAATAGAATTTTTTAAAATACCATTTACGGGCTTCCCTGGTGGCGCAGTGGTTGAGCCCACCTGCCGATGCAGGGGACGCAGGTTCGTGCCCCGGTCCGGGAAGATCCCACATGCCACAGAGCAGCTGGGCCCGTGAGCCATGGCCGCTGAGCCTGCACGTCCGGAGCCTGTGCTCCGCAGCGGGAGAGGCCACGTCGGTGAGAGGCCCGCGTACAGCAAAAAAAAAAAAAAAAAAAGGAAAAAAAATACCCTTTACTATAGCATCAAAACATTCTAATATTTAGGGGAAAATTGAAAGATATTAAGGCTTACACAGAAAACAAAAACAACTATAAAACATTGAGAGAAGTTAAATAAGACCTAAATAAGTAGAGAGATATGTCATGTTCATGGATTGGAAGGCTCAATATTTCAAAGAAGTCAGTTCTCCCCAAACTGAGCTATAGATTCAATGTAATCCCAATCAAAACCCCAACAGATTTACCTATTTGTCATTTTTTAAATGATAACAAGTTGATTTTAAGATATTTTATGTCAATGCAAAGGGCCAAGAGGGTGAAGACAATGTTGTAGAAGCATAAAGCTGGAGGACTTGCTCTACCATACATCAAGTCTTAATATAAAGCCACAGTAATTAAGGCAATGTGGTATTGGCACCAGAAAGCCAACAGACGGATAGACCAATGGAACAGACTGGAAAGTCCAGAAACAGACCTTCCTGTATGTGGACACTGGATTTAGGAAAAACGTGCCACTGCAGAACAATGGGGAAAGGATGGTCTTTTCAATAAATGGTGCTGGGTCAGTTGCATGTCCATGTGGTAAAAATGAATTTTGATCCTTACCTCACATCATGCACAATATCAACTCCAGGTGAATTGTTGATTTTAGTTTTTTAAATTAATTTATTTATTCATTTTTGGCTGCGTTGGGTCTTTGTTGCTGCGTGTGGGCTTTCTCTAGTTCTGGCGAGTGGGGGGGCTACTCTTCGTTGTGGTGCGCGGGCTTCTCGTTGCAGTGCCTTCTCTTTGTTGCAGAGCACAGGCTCTAGGTGCATGGGCTTATTGATTTTAATGTGAAAGGCAAACAATAAATCTTCAAAAAGAAAAAAAAGTAGAAGAATATATTCTTAAAAAGGATACAGAAAGCTGCAATAATTTTGACTGCATTAAAATCAAGTACTTCTGCTCATCAGAATTCACCATTAAGAGAATAAAAAAGGAAGCCAGAGACTTCCCTGGTGGTGCAGTGGTTAAGAATCCACCTGCCAGTGCAGGGGACACGGGTTCGATCCCTGGTCTGGGAGGATCCCACGTGCCGCAGAGCAGCTGAGCCCGTGTGCCACAACTACTGAGCCTGCGTGCCAAAACTACTGAAGCCCACACACCGAGAGCCTGTGCTCCACAACAAGAGAAGCCACTGCAATGAGAAGCCCGCACACTAGAGAAAGCCCACATGCAGTAAGGAAAACCCAACGCAGCCAAAAATAAATTAAGAAAAAAAAAAAAAAGCCAGAAGGTAGAATATATTTGTAGTACATATAATTGACAAAAGACCTATCCCAGTGGGTAATCAATTAGAGAAAGACAATCTAATAGAAAAGTTGACAAGATATTTGAATAAATACTTCACAAAAGAGAAGGCAATTCAGGAGATGATAATTAAGGCCACAATAAGATGTTGCTATACACCTATAAAAATGGCTAAAACTAAAAGGACTGACCATTATGAGGGTTGGTGAAGATGTGGAACCACTGGAATTCTCATACACTGCTGGTGGAATGTAAAGTGGAAAACTACTTTGAAATTAAACTGAACGTGTGCAAGCCCTGAAACCCAGCAATCTGACTCTTAGGTATACTTCACAGAAGTGCTTTACTATGTGTACCAGAATGGCAGCATTATAACCCCAAGCCGGAAACAACCTAAATGAGTAAATTGTGGTATATACATACAATGGACTACTGTACAGTGAAAATTATAGGAATGAAAATTAACAACCTACTTCTCATAACAACATGGATGAATTAGTGATAAGTGAAAGAAATAGTGATAAGTGAAAGAAGCCAGACTAAAAGGATACATATTGTATGATTCTATTTTTGTAATGTAAGGTTCAAAAACAGATAAAACTGTGATCAGGACAGAGATTGCCTCTGGGGAAGAGGGTGGGTATAGTGATGGGGAGAAGCCATGAAGGGGCTTCTGAGGTGCTGGTAATGTTTTATTTTTTTCCTTTGAGTGGTTGTTACAATTTGCGATAATTCATTCAGCTGTACCTTTATGAATGGTGTGCTTTTCTCGATATATGTTATACTTCAATTTAAACATTTTATTTTTAAAGATTCCTGGTATGAAGACCTGAAATATGTCTCCAGTGGGTCCTCATGAAGAGGACGCTATGTCCTTGACGACAGAATTTAGTACAACTCGGGCTGTTTGTAACAGTGTCCCCCACGTGGGCTGAAGGCAGGACGCCAGAGAGAGAGTCTGTAAAAACCTTTCTATGAGGGATTACCCAGTTGTTTCCAGTACTTTGCTCTCTGCTGATCTGGCTCAATCTGAGGGTAAACAGAGTAGAGAAAAATGGATGGGCTGCATATCCTGCAGGCAGTCCTGAAAACATGATTTTTTTCTCAACTGAGTTTTTGCTGAGTATTGGATGGGAGAGAAATGGAGATTATAGACTCTGACAGGAACTTGGAGGACAGATACATTCTACTGCCAAGTAAGGACAGATCTAAATGTTTTAACCCTTAAGTGAGTTGGAAGGAAGATTGATGTCCCCATATGAAGTCTAACAGGTCACTGAGAATAGAAGCCCATCTCCCTGTGACAGGGAGGTAGGGGCAAGGTGACATAGGTAATACTGTATTTCATTAACTCTAAGATAGATATTTTCCACCCACATTTTAACATTTTAAAAATTAGAATGTATTTTACAGTTGATGTGTCATAATTGAGTTGGCAGTGTTTTTTTCTTACAAAACTATAATCCATCTTATAATTTGATGGCATCTTAGATTCAATTAAATAAGTCACTGCCTTCAATATTGTTCCTCTTTTCAAGCCTCGATATCTCCAACTACTTGGAGGTGATAGTTCAAATATATTTTAAGTCTAAATTTTGCTTGGGACCTTAGGAATCATTTACTTCCCTATCTGCCCCCCCGTACACCCCACTTCTATCACATTCGTTTCCTAGGAGCCAGCCATAGAAGGAATATTTGGATGAACATATCAAATGATTTGCAATAAGTTATGAATTGCTTATGTTGATGGTAACTGGATTCCTTCAGACTGTCCATCACTCCCCAGTATTGTTTACACTATAAATTTCCTCTGCATGCTCTGCCTTTCCAGATAATGTTGAGGCAACTATCGGCATAACCCATCTAAAATCAGAGTCTAAATGATGACGTTTTCTTGTATTTAATTATGTCAGCTTTACAACTTCTGAAGTGCTAGCACTGAGGCTCCAGGAAGAATCTGCAGACTGCAGTATGAAATAGTAAAATAAAACTTTGTCCAAACAAGGCTTGATGGAAACCAAAATGCACAGTTTGGAGAAGAATCCTTTGTTTTCTTTTTTTTTTTTTTCAAATTATTCTTAAAATCCATGAGCACTTTTTTCTTTGTTTGGTTGGAAAGCTGGAGTTTGGATCTAAAAATAAATAATTTATAATGAGAATAATTGGGCAAAACCATGAATGAGAAAGGTTAACTGTTGCTGTCCTTACTTTTAATAAAATGCCCTTGAGGTAATAGGGAGGGGCCTGGCAGGCCTCCTCCACCCACTGTGCTTTTGGAAACTCTACATCCTCTCTCCCTTTCCAGTGGCAGACCCGGCCTAACAAAATCCATATCCCACCGCCACTTCACTGCAGGAAGCAAATCACATCCATTAATTCACATTAAGATGCTAATAACTGATAGTGGTTTGATGTATTATCTGTCCCGAATATATTTGCATTAAAAAATATACAATTGATTCATGTCCGTTGCTGAAAAATGGAAAATCCAGATAAGCAAAAAGAAAAAAATAATCATTACCCCCAGTATCATCAGACAGAACCACTGTTACAAATTTAGTTTCCATTTCTCAAGCTCTTGTCTGTGCTTGTATTAACATTTGGGGGAGACTTTTAACGTTTGAAGAAGGACTTTAACCTCCCCCCTTCTTTCCTCTCTGTCCCTTGCCCCAGATTTATCATCTAAGAAGTAGCAGTTGTACATGTACACACAAAACCGACCGAATAGTATTACAGAACATGCTCCCATTCTTGAGAAATTCATGCGCTTATAGAGGTTGATAGGTAGCAGTTATCATTTATTTTGTTTATGTCCACACAGATCAAGTTGACATCTTAAAATATTGGATTGGCCACCTCCCAACTCTTCAAGGGAGGGATCCAGTATGCTGAGCGTGCTGCAGTGTTACTTTTTAGGTGTTTAATCCCTTCCCCTCCAGAAGCCTTCCCTCAGTCCCCCAGGAGTCAGAAGGGGAGGACTCTGAATTCCTGTAGCCCTTGTCTGTGTCACTTAAGTGGCCCTGTATTGTTTTGTTATTTTTGACATTCACCTTCCCAGCTACACAAGGGCCCCTCAAGGCCACACTTAGAATCCTAGAATCATGTATTGTTTAAAGGGGCCTTGGACAGGTCCAGTTCATATACGAGGAGACTGAGGCTCAGAGGGGTTAGATAACCTGCCCAAGGCCACAGAGCTTTTCAGTGAACTAGAACCTAGTTCACTTAAAAGTACTCTTTCTAGCCCAACAGTGTTAGACATGTTCCCAGAAGCCTGCAAGCTATGAAAATTATTCAATTTTATGGAAACAAAAATTTAACCTCAGCACATTTCTGATCATCTAGGTCTATTCATTATACTTGAGTAGCCTCTCAATTTCATTGTTTTGATTTTGTGTTTTGTATTGTCCTGTAAGTACTTTTCACTGGTTGGACCAAGTGGTCAGGTAGCAGCAGTTAACTTTAATGCTTTGGTTTTTCTAGGGGGAGGGGTGACAAAGTGGAGGATGCGCTCTCAGGGTCCCCACTTTTTCAAAGTTGAGCAACACTCCAGACAGCACATGACTTCTTGTTCCCCACAAATGTGTTTGCTGACGATGCATTTTAGTTTAAAAATAAATTAAATATTCTGTCTTGGCCTCTCATTTCTGATTCATTGTATTGGGCTGAAAGTAACTGTGAACAGGTTTTTGGCGTTTCTTGGTTGCATTTTGGGAGTCGGACTGATTTTGGTCCCGGGGGTGGGGATGGGAGGGCGGGATCGAATCACTAAGAACTGGAAGCAGGAAATGGATCTCACTGGTGTGCCCTGAGTGCCCACGGTTTGAACTGTCTCCATAAAGCCAGTGCTTGTCCGGAGATGGGACCACAAATATTCATGCCCCCTGCAACAGTGACATCTGGTGGCCCTGGGGTAATAGGACAGCAGTCGAGTGGCTGATCTGTGGATTTTGATGAGATGACCTTATTCTATATATACTTGTCGCCGTAGGAGCCACTGCCCGTTCCTAGGGAGCCCCGTTTCCTCCTGTGACACACCCACCTCCAATCACCCTACACCCAGGAAGCACCTGCAGCAGCGCCCCTGCTTCCTGGGGGCACTCTCCTCCCAGGCGCCCTGGCTGCCGGGCTGGGAAGAAGTGGACTTGCCCCATCTGGCGCGTGTCAGCCACCAGCGGCCACGTCAGGCCAGGCCTGGCCTGGATTCTGGTGTTCGAGGGCCAGTGATTTACTGCCTGGGCAGCAGGTGGCTGGGGTATTTTTAGTGTGTGGAGACTTTAGGAGTGGGATTGGGTGTGGGCAGGAGGCAGCGGTGAGGTCTGGGGGAGTTAGCTCTTCCAAGGTTCAAGTTGAAAGCCTCCTAATTGGGGGGGGGGATGTCTGTTTCCTAACCTCCTGTAGGCTTTCAGGTTCTTGGTACGTCTTCTTGAATCTGTCTGCCTTTTTCCTTTGCTTGGTCAGTTTGTAAGCATGAACTAGAGAAAGTGGAAACCTTTGGGATGCCAAGTTGTTTGGTATCTAGGAAAACACTGGGTACTATTAACGCCCTGCACCTGTATTCATTCCACTTCAAAGCTCTTTTCTGTTCGTTGTATTATCTGATCCTCATGATAATCCCTCACGCTCCGTGAACAGGGATTATCGTCTTCCTTCTACAGAAGAAGAACTGGCCACGAAAGGTGAGCATCTGTCCCGTGCCACAGGGAGCACACGGGACAGAACCCGGAGCCGAGCTGTGCCGGTTTTGCCGCTAAGCGGTGCTGAGTTCGAACCCGCTGCCCCGGCTCACATGCTGTGGGATTTGGAGCCCAGATGCTTGGCTCCTGAGTCTCCTTATCCAGAAACGGAGTCGTGGTACTTGGCACACACTCCTGTGAGGATGAGCACATATCAAACACTCCACCCGCTGTTCTGATCCAAGTAAAAGCTTCCACGTTTATTTAGCTTTTCACTGGGTCTGTTGTCCAGGTTCTGAACATATGACATCGCCACTGCCTCCGTGTGAGAGACAATCTCAGAATCAGCAATTAAACGTGCCAGGCACCCAGGCCTGGAGCAGAGCAACCGGCCGAAACCTGGGGCTTCTGAGCAGGCACATCACAGAGAATAAAAGGTAAAAATTAAGAAGCCTGTGGGCCGGGAGGCTTTGTCAGTCTGACCATCTGAGACTGAGTTTCAGTTACTTTCCCGCTGCTGTTACTTGGTGGCGTCAGGGCTTTTGTGATTCCTTGTCCTCGGAATCTTTTTGTTTCCTTTCTAAGGAAACATTCTGCTTGTGCTTCAGAGAAAAGGGATTTTCGTCAGCACCTGGATGGAACATTGTCAGCACCAGGAGAGACCAGAGGAAACTGGGAAAACAGGTGACAGAGCCTCCTGCGGTGCGGGAGCTGGAAACAACTACGACTGTGAGTTGCCGACTCCTGCATTTCCCCCAGACCAGCTGAGCTGGACCCCTGGGGTTGTCCTCTCCGCGGCTGCCCCCACCATGTCCAGAGCCAAGCCTGACAAGGCCTGAGCCTCGAGGTCTATCCCCAGTTGGGGGATAGGGCTGCTGCCAGGCTGATCTTAGTTTTGGGTGGGGCTGCCATGGATCTGTGGGCCCACTGGGCCCCAGCCTCCCAACTGGGTGCCTAGGTACCTTAGAGCTGGACCTCTGCCTCCATGGCTTTGTGTAGTTAGCACTCCAGTTTGCCATGGGGATAGAATCTGTCGTGAACCTCAGTTTATTTGCCTGTTGGCCCTGAAACTCTAAGTAGACCTCACTGGTGGAGAGGGGCTTGGCGGTGGTGGTGAAGGTGACACGTGGGAACCAGGTCTTTTTCCTGTTGGTTCCGGCTCCAGTAATTCAGTAAGAAAGCGTCGTCAGTAGTTCACTAGTCTGAAGTGACGTTCTGTGTTGAAAGGGTTCCGTGGTCATGATCAAAAGTGCTATACCATACCCCCGCCTGCCTTGCTTTAGAGATCACCTATTCCCATCATCGTATTCAGGGCTCTGAGATGTCCTACAGTGGAGAAACCCGTGTAATTCCATTAAGCCCACGTTTCTCAAGCTTGTTGGACCATGGAACCCTCTTCTCAGGCCAGTAGCCCTTCGCAACATTCAGAGCTAGTGTTTCACAGATCCTACCTTGGGAAGCACGGGCACAAACCATGCCACAGCCATGAGAGCTGAGAGCCGTGAGAGCTGTCAGCTGCCTTAACTCGTGGCTGCATCCACCCCCGATGACACCTCCTCGGACACTGATCCCTCCTGAAAGCGGACCTGAGCTCATCCCATCATGAGTCAGCCCCGCCTGGCCCATCTCCCCACTCCTAATCCCACTCAGCCCTGGCTTTCTACCACCTCCCAGTTGGCCTGGTAGCTGAGCCATCATGCGGCAGCAGGTGGGGGAGGATTCCCCTGTGTCTCCAAATCCTCCCAGAGATGCCACAGCCATCTTCCCCGTCCCTGCCCCCATCAACACCCAGAGGTGCCGCTCACCTCGAGGCCAGGAGCCCCTTGGGCAGCGATCTTCTTGCTTTTCCCTCCTTTCCTCCCTTCTGGTTCCTCAGCCTATGCTTCCCCACATCTGCTTAGAGCGCCCTGGGCCTGGGAGGAGCCTTTTATTAAGTGAACCCGTCCCACACACAGCCTCAGTCCTGATTTGGAAGACTTCAGCCCTGGCTACCCTGGCCATTCTGAGAATGTATTACCCTATTTTTTATCTTAAATCCAAGCAAGATGTCAACCAGAGTCCTTGAATCTACCTGTCCTTCATCCCTGGTTTCCCTCCTCTTCACATCCCCAGACCCCCAAGTTTCGGTTGAGTCTCTCCCAGCTGGCAGCCCCATTCCAAGCAGAGGAGACACTGCAGTAAGGACGAGGGTGGTTTGTTACAGGACTGGGTGAGATTAAATCCCAGGGGGCCCTGCCCAGCTAAGGTGCATTTTCCCCTATGCTTTATGATGTTTTCCTCCTCTCTGCTTTGGTCAACATGCTACAGGAGTCACTGCTTTGAATCCATTCTGGGATCTCTGGCTTTTAGAACCCATTGCCTGCTCCTCATTCTTTACTGAAACCTGCTCTCAGCATAGCATCTGATCAGTACATTCCCATTAAGTTAGAATCAGCTAAACACCCCCAAGATGGGAGAGAGTTCTGTGGGCAGGGACTCCTCCTGGGAGCATGTGAAATTGGGAAACTAAGGAATCTAAGAAGTCTAATGTGCAGTTTCACACAACTTATAACTGAGAAGTAGCCGTTGTCACCGCACGCTCACCCTCAACATCTAGGGGTGCATATCCCCCCGGCGTGGCCACATTTATGTTAGACTGCCTTCAGTAAAAAGTGTCAAAGCATATGCTAAGTAAGTAGGACATCTCTGTCATCCACCACACCTGTCTGAGGTTAAAAGTTCTTTTCCTCAACTCGTAAATGATTAAAGACTCAAGCTCTTTTTATGATTTGACCTTGGGATACCACCCCTGAGCATTATTTTATAAACCTGTGAAATCTTGGTATAAAACTGTAGATGGGTGGTTTCCAACATTTAGTGCCTGTGTTAGTCACCCAGCACTGAGGGGGAAAAAAACCACAGAAATCTTCTCAGTGGCATATGCAGCAATAAGCATTTGTCTCCAGAGCTCTGTGGGTCATCCGGGATTTGACTGATCCAGGCTGGGCTCAGCTGGTCGACTCTGCTAAGGCTGCAGTGGCTCAGTGGCTCTGCTACTCACTTCAGGTCTCTGGACCACTCGGTGGTTTTGCTCTACATGCCTCTCACCCTGTCCTCCTTAGACAGCAGGTTAGCTGAAGCTTGTTCTTCTGATGGCAGAGGCAGAAGAGGGTAAACCCCAGTGTGCAAGCACTTTTCAAACCCCTGCTTGTGTCCGTCTACTGACATCCCATTGGCAAAGAAAGTCATATGGCCAACCCCAGTATCAACAAAGAAGGACATTCCATCCATGATGAAGCCACAGCAAGTGTGTGGATGGAGAAAGGAGTGAAGAATTGGGGCCAGTAATACCACCATGCTCACCTGTGGCACACAGGGACGAGATAAAGGGTTTCTTCTGCCAATTGCTGGTAGCAGAGTTCTGCTGCAACAAAGATGCTACAGGGAGCCTAGCAGTCGGGGGAAACTTCTGAAGGTTAAACAGCCCACAGGCTCCCTGTGACCAGAGAACCAGGTGACCATCCTCATCAGTCCAACTAAGGTGCTGGTGGGGGTGGGTAGCCCAGGAGCCCAAGTGAGGAGAGAGTAGGCAACGGAAGTGCAGGAGTGGTGCGGCCACCAAAGTGCCCTTCCACGGCTAAGGGTGCGAACCGTTATGCTCTGACATACAGATGCCAAGGAAAGCACTGAGGAGGTCAGAACTGGGGCCAGCCAGGGGAAGACCAGCTTTACCCAAAATCAGAGCAGGAAGGAATACCAAATAGGCAAGGTTGAGACCCTGACTCGAGCCTACAGTTAGTTGGGCTTATACGCTTAAATTAACCATTGGGTAAGCAAGGTTACCCGTGATGTCCTGGTTGCTCATGCCTTATTTATTTATTATTTAAAATGTAGTTTTTATTTATTTTATTTTTTAAAATTTATTTGTTTTTGGCTGCGTTGGGTCTTCGTTGCTGCGCACGGGCTTTCTCTAGCGAGCGGGGGCTACTCTCGTTGTGGTGCGTGGGCTTCTCATTGCGGTGGCTTCTCTGGTTGCAGAGCACAGGCCCTAGGCGCGCGAGCTTCAGTAGTTGTGGCTCGTGGGCTTTAGAGCGCAGGCTCAATAGTGGCCTAATGTGGTAAGTCCCTAGTTTTTATTTTTATAAAAATAACACAGGTATCTAGTTTAAGAAGTGAAATAAAAACAGAGGCTTATAATGGAAAAGAACAGTCTTCTGCTCATCCCTACTAAGCCCTGACTGCTTCTCCCCAGAAACAACTGTTTTAGCTGTGCCTTCTTATCTTTTCCCTACATTTTTTTTTTTCCAAATTTGTGTCGCTGTTTCTTGATTTTTCAACCTTAGACATAATCTATTCTCTTCCTACCTTGGAAAATGAGAATTTAACTCTCTTACATTCTCCCCCATGCTCTACCCACACACATATATTTCCCTTCCTCGCATCTTCCCAATATAGATATTTTGGTTAAATGAATATTTTAGTATTTACATTATTATGACTTATGTAAAAAATTTTCACAACTGAGCCATTTAGTATACTATGATTACAAAAAGTGCAACTCTCGTTTCCCTAGGAGCTTTTTTCTTTCTTTTTTTTGTCTGTTTGCTTGGTTTTCTACATACTTATCAATAATACAACCCTAGAGGGACTTCCCTGGTGGCACAGTGGTTAAGAATCCGCCTGTCAGTGCAGGGGACACAGGTTCGAGCCCTAGTCCGGGAAGATCCCACATGCTGCGGAGGAACTAAGCCCGCGAGCCACAACTACTGAGCCCATGTGCCACAACTACTGAAGCCGGCGTGCCTAAAGCCCGTGCTCCGCAACAAGAGAAGCTACTGCAATGAGAAGCCAGTGCACCGCAATGAAGAGTAGCCCCCGCTCACCACAACTAGAGAAAGCCCGCACGCAGCAATAAAGACCCAACGCAGCCAAAAATAAATAATAAATAAAAAATACAACGCTAGACTGTCAAAACTGAAAATTTCACTGATACAATCAAACAGATAATGTAAACTATTGGGTTTTTTGGTTTGTTTGAGACATCCTTCTGGGAATGTTGTTCTGAAAACTCCTTTGCTTCCCTCTGGTGGCGAATTCCACATTGCCTGCATCCCAGGTGTCCATTTTGGTTTATTCTCTTGAGGGAGCATGACTACCAGTAGCCTTCTGATAAAAGAAGCATGTGTTCTTGTTTGTCTGAAAATGTCATTATTCTATCTTCATGATTGATAGCTAGATTGGGTGTAAAATTCTATGTTGGAAATAATTTTTCCTCGGAATGTTTTAGGTTTTCTTTTTTATTTTGTTTTGCGGTACGCGGGCCCCCACTGTTGTGGCCTCTCCCGTTGTGGAGCACAGGCTCCGGACGTGCAGGCTCAGCGGCCATGACTCACGGGCCCAGTCGCTCTGCGGCACGTGGGATCCTCCCAGACCAGGGCACGAACCCGTGTCCCCTGCATCGGCAGGCGGACTCTCAACCACTGTGCCACCAGGGAAGCCCTAACTTTTCATTTTGAAATAATTTTAGGCTTACAGAAAAGTTCCGAAAACATTACAGAGCTCTATCTAGTGCCTTTACCCAGCTTCCCCTAATGGTAACATCTTACATAGCTATAGTACAGTGATCAAAATTAAGAAATTAACTAAAAAAAAGGAAAGAAAGGAAGTTAACTCTGATGCACTTCTCAGGGTACAACATCCAAAAAAAAAAAAAAAAAGCAAGTAAGTAATTAACGTTGCCACACTACTGT